TTGCATGAGATTATTTTTTATTATTCCAAGTGAGATAATGTATCCATGGTCTGTTAATCTTATTTGATTTCTTTACCCTTTGCATTAATGCTCAATTATAATAACATTTTGTGTTGCATCTGACTCCTTGCTATCTAATACAGAATCCAAAAAGCACTATTAATAGTGGGTTCAATCAATTTCTAAGTGCATGCATTTCCTCTAGGTACTGATCTAATTGCAATCACAGAAGACATTAAAGGAACATGCTGTAAGAATGGGAAAATTGTGTAAGTTAGAGTGCCAGGGACAATGAATAAACGTGTATATTAGTCTTCTAAGTGCTTTTGGAATGAAAGTCTATTAATCCACTTACCTATTGAATGACACAATGCACAAGAAAATATTTTTTTCTGATCCAATGCAAGGAGCTTTATGAATTCATATGGGAATGCTACCAGAAATGCAAGAAATCAGGACGTGTCATTATTTTTAGTTAAATGTTAGGTTGCAATTTTTAATGAGGGTACTTAAAATAAAATAAAACAAAATCTTTAACAGTAACTTAAACAGTTATCTAGGAGTAAAATTATCTCTGTTCAAAATGGATCCCTCTCCCTTCAGAGTAATAGGCCATCTAGCCCCAAAATGAAGAAGTCATTATAAGCCCCACTCAGGTGGCTTTTATTTCTACAAGCCATGTTCCTCAACCAGCTCTTTTTTCCCCCTCCTTGCAATAATTCAGCTGCAGCAAGGTTTACTTGAAATCAATACAAGATATTTTTGCTCTTCTGCCAGGTTTGGTAGACTGGAGAAATTGGCTTTTCTACCTGTACAGAGCTCTACTTGGCTAGAGCGCTCATTTGACATAAAATCCTGTCCCTACTTCCTGGTCTTCAGCTGATCCCTGGTTGGAATAAAAGCTAGTTACTCCTTGTCATGGCTCCTTACACACTCTGGCATGATAAATGCAAGAGTGGGGGCCAGCAAAAGTACCTCAAAAACCAGGCTTTGGTATACAACTTCCCCCCAAAATCTTAACAACCTAGATTTTGGGGATAAAATCCCACTGCCACCACCCAAGTATTGATAAGAAAATCAGGGGAGAGATCACTTGGGAGATGTCACCCCTAAAGTCCAAACAAGGACACAAAAATTAACCAATGCCAGGTTAAGAAAAGAGAAAGAACTTTTATGATCAGTACAATATTCCTGTTGCAAGCATAATGACTAGATGGAAAAGTAACAAAGTAATATACTCATGGAGGAGAAACCCACCATGGGCCAGGAGCTTAGTTACAAAAGAGAGGAAAAAGCATTTTTAAATGTACAGACATCAGATCCCATTTATCTAAACTTTACCCTACTTTCAGAAGAGTGAAGAGTCTATTCTTGGAGGGAGACATTCTGTCTGTCCCCCTGAGTGGATGGAGAGAAACTGCCCAAGACCAAGGAGGGAGTGTAGCCAGACAGAGGCCCTCCCCGTCACATCCATCTTGCTTGCCCCTCTGAGGTGCCCGGAGCACACAGGACACAGAGAGCAATAAAATCAGCATAGTCTTTGATGCCTTGACAGAGGCCCGGATATGCTGGCTCACCTGACCCTGTATAACTGTAAACACAGATAAGAGAGGGTGGTCAAGCTAATCCGCTAACATAGAGACTGCAAGAACTGCCCTTGGCTGGCACCTATGTTGATACGATCACACAACTGTCCCTGGGGGAGGAATCTCCCACTGAGTAAAGAATGCCCAGTACTCCCAATTTAGTTTTATCTCTTACAAGTGTAAATTAAGTTCACAACTCCCTTGTAAGAACTGGTGTCACAAAAACGAACCAGCACAATTTGGCACCATAGATAAGAAAGAGAATACGTGACCCCATGGGTATAAAGATGGGCCCAGCAGCACACTCACTCCGAGCGTCAATCTACCATCTACCTGCTGGTTGGGTTAGGTAGTTGCCTTCTGAGGTCCACACGGGAATGCCCAGCCTCATATTCGTCTTTCCAAGGAATTGAGTGACTGGTCCTGGTCTGACACACTGGAATCAAGGGACGCAGAAGGGGGTAAAAATTGTACCCGTATGTGTCCTTTTGTTTTAAGTGCATGCATAGAATAGAGCTCTTTAAAGATTAAGCTGTCACTTGGTACCATTATTGCCTATCTTCCTATTCCTTTGTATCCACTTTAAGACCTGTATTTGCTAGTAGTTAAGAAGTAGAACAATGGCCATTGTAACCATGTCAGCCGACGGTCAGGGCAGTGTGTGTGTATATGCTTCCGAGAAAAGGTTTAACGTCTGTGTCTTTACTGCTAGGACCGGGGTCCCATCGCAGAGGGTGGCCAGCAGGCCAACAGACGCCCCGTTATATAGGAAGAGCTTATTACACCTTAGATTTTAGCTGCTAGAACACAAAGTTCCTTCGCAGCGGGCAGCCTAGGAAAGGCTGAAAAGGTGCCCCAACGGATCTTGTCACCTGGGAGTGACACAGATCCAAACGCCCAAGCTCTCCCTATCTCTGTCCCTTTATGACCGGCTGAAGTTCTTTTAAATTGTGCTTGGTTCTGTTACAGCAACTGAAGGAGTCAGGTTAAAGCTTAAACAGTTACAGGTTTATTAAAGAGACTTATAAAGCATATGGTTACAATGGCCATTGTTCTACTTCTTAACTACTAGCAAATACAGGTCTTAAAGTGGATACAAAGGAATAGGAAGATAGGCAATAATGGTACCAAGTGACAGCTTAATCTTTAAAGAGCTCTAACACTATGTATATATATACTTAAGCAAAGGACCACATCTAGGTACAATTTTTACCCCTTTCTGTGCCTCTCGACTCCAGCGTGTCAGGCTAGGGCCGGTCTCTCAATTCCTAGGAAAGACGAATACGAGGTGGGTGTCCCCTTGGAACCTCGGGAAATCAAACACCTAACCCGACCAGCAGATAGATGGTAGATTGACACTCAGAGAAAATGTGCTGCTGGACCCATCTATGTACCCCTGGGGGCCCGAATCCTCTTTCTTATCTAAGATGCCAAATTGTACTGGTCTGTCTTTGTGACGCCAGTTCTTACAAGCAAGTTTCAAGTTAATTTACACTTGCAAGAGAGATAACTAAATTGTGAATACTAGACATTATTTTACTGGGCGAGAGATTCCTCCCCCCGCGGATGGATGTGTGTTCGTATCAATATGGGTTTGAGTCAAGGGCACTCCTTGGCAGCCTCTTGGTCAGCAAGTGGAGTATCTCTGTTTACAGCCATTCACGGTCACAGCAGCCTGGGCCTTCTGCTCTGTGTGCCCTGTATGCTCCAGGCAAGCAAAAATGGATGTTACAAGGGGGTTCCTGTCTGGCTACAAACCATATGCATTCATAAGTCTCTTTAATAAACCTGTAACTGTTTAAGCTTTAACCTGACTCCTAATTAAAAGAACTCCAGCCGGTGATAGGGGCAGACGCAGGCAGAGCTGGGCGTTTGGGTCCTTTCGCCTCCACGGGACAGACCCCTGGGGCACCCATCAGCCTTCTCCAGGCTGCCCACTGTGAAGGGACTTTGTGTCCTAGCAGTTAAAGACTCGGGTATAATAAGCTCTCCCTGCAGACTCTTGGGGCACCCATCAACCTTCACAGGTTGCCCGCTGCGAAGAGGCCCTTTGTCCTAGCAGTCGAAGACTTGGGTGTAAAACTTTGGGCACCCATCAGCCTTTTCAGCTGCCCACTGCAAAGGGACTCTGTCCTAGCAGTTGAAGACTCAGGTGTATAACACACACACACCACGTGCTGCCCTGACCATCAGCCGACAGGGAGAAACCAAAAATTCCTTTGTCCCAGTTTGAAATTCCTACCTACTGTGACGTAGTGGGGGGTAACCTGCTAACTCTCTGGCTGCTGTCTGTAGTTCCACAGAGCAGACAAGCAATGAATCACTATGCAAAGAGGGTATCCCAACTGGTTTGGCCAGCTGACCCCCATGGAGAGGAACAAAGGAAGGTGGAATGCTGCCCTGGCTGGGGGGCAGGGCTGGAGGAGAGTGAGTTAGTTCCTGGCTGGAAAGCAGGGAAGAAGGAACTGGGGAGGGGGCTGGGATCCCCCCATCTCAAAGGGGGCACTGAGGCCTCTTAGCCCCAGTTGCTGTAACCAGATTACATCTGTGCTATGCTGTATCCTGGAGGAGCAATAAACCACCCTCAATTCCACTGGCTGGTGGAGTCTGTTTGTGCCATTTTGGGGTGCAGGAGACGAGGGACCCCCAACGCGCCATCACACCTACATTCCTATTGGCTGAATCTACCTGGCTTAGGTCAGGTTAACCCCTTAGTTCCCAGGCTGCTGGCTAACCCTCATGATCATGACGCTCCTAGAAGGGATTGTATGGGCCGAAGGTCGGGGTATGTACTACTGCTGCAGGGACACAGCAGGTAATGAGTCCGAGCCCAGAGCTGGGAGGCAGTTCCAGGGAGCAAACTGAGTTTGGGGACCCTTGGAGAATGCACCTCACATGTGAATTGGCCAGAGCCCAAAGGTCAGTCTAGGCCTTAATCTAGGACTAATGACTCATGGCTGATGGGCTGTCAAGACTGTTTGGTTGTTACTGAAGGAGACCAAGTTCCACTGGGGTTCTGTACGTTCTAGTAAAGTGTTGTGAGACATCTGTGCATCTAAATGTTTCCTAGGTGAATTCTTTCCTGCACAAAATGCCAAAAAAGAGGGGAGTCCCCACCATACAGCATGCAGACAATAACTTCTTTGAGGAATCTTAGCCCAATACTAGTACTCAGTTTCCAGCAAGCAATTCTGAATCAAGAATCAACTCCAGTCAGAGACCAACGCAAAAAGCAAACTCTTCTGTTGCTTGCAGAGATTCCTCAACCCAGACTCTTTTATAATCAAAACCAGCACTAAGTATAGCAGCTCTCCCAAAGACACTAGTTGCTATGGAACACAATCATGAATATCTGTCATCATGTGCATATTTCAATCTCTCTCCCAAAATGTGATCTATGTCCTTGACTTTTAGGACAGGACTAAATAGTTTCAACATCCTCATCTAGAGTAGAGATACAACACATTGTGACCGTGTGTCTCTGCCTGATCCAACCATGGAGTACCACTGTCCTGGATAGGCCCTGACAGATAATCCTTCTGACTGGAAGACAGCCAAACTGAGAAATTCATTGTCTCACAGGTAAGAGAGGTTGGGGAAGAACAATGGTAGGCATGGTAGGCATGCTGTGAGATCACAGGTATAACTGATACTGCTAAAATATGTAAGTTGGTTCTGCCTTATTCTGTAATGTAAGAGGAAAGGCTGTTCACCTTAGGGTATAGTGAAGCATAAGTTTAGATGAGAATAAATATGCACATAGGCCATTTGTTGTATTAAAAACCTTCCATTTATTTACCATGCTTTGTCCTAACATTAAATAAAATACTTTGTTTTAAGAAGGCTGTTTATTGATATTGCTGGTTACAGCTTCCCAAAGGGAAGAAATGTGAGTTGCCCAGAAGGAAACCCAAGCTGATGACAAGCAATTGGAATATTAAAAAAATGAGTACATCTGGTTTATTAAGATTCAGAAACTGGCATTGTGTGAACTGCAGTCTGTGTTGAAGATTTTTTTTTCTCCCTTCCCTAATTGGTCCATGCTGCTGGCATTAGAAATCTTACTTAATGATCATTGAAGTCATTGGAAAGAATACCACTGACTTGAATAGTAATAGAGGTGTAGCCGTGTTAGTTTAGTCTTGCTGAAACAAAAGACAGAACTATGCAGCACTTTAAAGACTAATAAGATGGTTTAATAGGTGATGAGCTTTCGTGGGCCAGACCCACTTCCTTGGATCAAATTGTGGAAGAAAATTGGCATGACCATATATATCCATCCCAATTATCCACCCCAATTATCACCTCTAATATCATTAGCTCATAGACATTAATCTCCCCCCCCCATACCTCTCTATTCTAAAATCTGATTTCTCTAGTTTATATGTGTTCACTTTTTTTTTTATTGTATCCCTTTGGCATATATGATCATGCCAATTTTCTTCCACAATTTGATCTGAGGAAGTGGGTCTGGCCCACGAAAGCTCATCACCTATTAAACCATCTTGTTAGTTTTTAAAGTGCTGCATAGTCCTGTTTTTTGTTTCTACATTGACTTGAATAGGTTTTGAATCGGGCAGGATTTCATTTTGTTGACCAACAGGTAAAGGCTTCAATTGTATGAACAGAATGGTGCATCACACCTCTTTGTTCTCTAATTATTTGCTTTATTAACAGGGGCTCTCCATCTGAAGCATCTTTATTGGTAGTGATTGACATTCACAATAATTTTGTTAGGCCTGATTTTCCCAAAGTGTCCTTAATTCTAATTTTTGTGCTCTCATTTAATTATAGGTCCAGGTGACAACATAAAGATGTCTACCTGGGCAATAGTTTTTGATGGAGGACACTCTAAGATTTTAGAAAATGGTCACATTCTCCCATGATATTAATAGAGAAGGTGCAGAGTCTGGTATGGAGGTTGGGTGCAGAAGAGAGCTTGTGGTAAGGGATTGGGGTTCAGGAGGAAGTGTGGTGTCTGTGAGGGAGTTTGCTTGAAGGAGGCGGTTGTGACTTGGGGCACTGGACTGGGCTTCAGGAGTTTGGTGTGTGGCTTAGGACAAGGGGGTGGTGATCTGAGGCAGGGGTCTGGGGCACAGGGATTTGGGTTGTGACCTTGAACAGGGGATTAGGGTGCAGGGTCTGAAAGGAGGGTCTAGAATGCCAGAAGCAGGCTCTGGCTGGGAGACTTATCCGGCTGACTCATGGCCAGCAGCCCAGCAGGTTTCCCTGCATGCCCTGCTCTAGAGAGGCTGCAGGGGCCATGTGTGTCTATGAAAAAGAGCCTGAGGGCAGTGGGGACTGATGCTTTGCATGCTGCCTGTTTTACAAACAGGCAGCTCCCATTGGCCAGTAATCAGCCAATGGGATTGTGCTGGGGGTAGGAGCAGTATGTGAAGCACCATAACCTCTGCCCTGGGCTCACAGCTGAGAAAGAAAAACGGCTGTGGCAGCTGATTTTCTGAGTGGTGGGGCATGACAGGACAAGCAAGGAGTCTTCCTGAGGCTCCATCGCTGCATCCACAGGCTGGATTTGGTTACTTAGAAGGCTGAATTTGGCTCCTGAGACATATTTTGCCCAGTCTGGATCTAAATTCTAGGATTTGTGCCCACTATTGATAGAACCTATTCTACATGTGCAAAATTGTGGCTCCACAGAAACTTCTAAAACAAGTCCTCATGGTGCAGTCTTTATTGGAGTTCCATGTAAATATGACATTCATATAATATGAAGAAAATTTTGAGTCCCTGCTACAGAGCAGAGACTTGAACCTAAGTATTCTTCATTCCAAAATAGTGCTCTAAACACCAGGACCTCTGGCTTCTGTGTAGTATCTTTATCTCAGTCTCTTTTTTTTTCACATGCAAATCTCAATGGTCTCATTTTTGTTTGGAATGAAAATAGATTTCAAAACATTTTTCACAACATTGAAATATGTTTTTTCAAACAGGCTTAACAGTGAAGTGACTCTTTTGGTTTGATTCCACTTCGGGAAGGTTCTGAGTGGTTATAAAGTATTAACCAGAAGTTTTGTTGGCTCAGCTGGTTAATGTTTGTGTACTTGCTGGCTGGCTAGAAGTTGTTTGTCAAATTTTAGATGTTGTACATTATTGATCTCTTACCAGTTGTTGGCCAACCAGGCGGTGACAGCAGCACAAACCTTCTTTTACAGGGATGGTAGCATTACTTGCTTGAAGGCCACCTTTTTTTCAGATTATGAAGTTGATGGCTTGGTTAGTTCCTACCTCTTCAAATTCTCATCACTAGTTTCTTGGCAAATCAGAATGGATCATTTCTCTTCTGATGAAATGGGTTTTAATTGGTCATCTTATGCAAACAGAGATTGTTCCTTTCCATTTTGAAAAGTAACCAAAATACTTTAGAAGTTTTAGACATACTGAGTTCATTAGAATGGTGATGTTTACACTCTTGCTCATGAGTTTGACAAGTCCTCCAACAAAAATTCTGACTGAACACTACAAATAACTCACCACAAAACAAGTAAGAAGGTGAAAGTGAAATAATGGAAAACAATCTCTAAAACTCAGTCATGAAAACTAAGGAAAATAACATATTCAGTCAAAGCTGTTGTTCTTTCATTCCATGGGCAGATACTTAATTTTCCTCTGCAGATTTTGGTATTTGCCACCAATCTACAATTCAATTTTGAACTTGTGCAAGAAGATTAGGATCTAGTAAACATCAGAGTAAAGTTTTTTCACTCTTAAATATCACCATTTTGGCTACAATTTATATAGAGAATTCTTATAGATGGTGATTTCACTCTGATGGGATAAAATGTTTTAAACCTATATTAAACTATTTTTCCTACTATTTTTATTTAATAGTGATATCTTCCAGCATTGTATTAGTTGTACCTTTATGGTTTTTGTGGATAGGAAACTGCATATGAAAAACTTTAAAAACAATATATAGTCTGGTAGCACTTTAAAGACTAACAAAACATGTCGATGGTATCACGAGCTTTTGTGAGCACAGCCCACTTCTTCAGATGACTGGAGTGTTGGAAGTCCAGAACCAAAAATATTTGTTGTTTTTTAAGTTTTTTCTGTTACAGACTAACTCGGCTACCCCTCTGAAACTTTTGCATATGGAAAGTTAAAGGATATTTACAAATCTGGTTCTCTATAGTCTTAAAATATCACTACGTCATATGAAACAGCATTACTATCAAAATCTTGGTTTTTTCTCAATATTTTGTTTAGAAAACATGTTGCAGTTTCTAGCGCAACCACCAGCTGGCAGTGGGGTCAAATCTTTTGTAATTAACCTGGGCTTTTTATCTTAGCAATGGGAGAGATAATCCCATCTCTTTCTACAAAAAGTACTAAAAATGCAGGGGTATACCATCCACAGTCCTTATCGTCATATTTCCCTTTCTGGCTCGTGTTCACATCACTTCCCCTTTCAGGAGTTCCTTTGTCCTCCTTTGTCCCACCTATCCTTGTTCTGAAATTGTCAACTGCTTCACAATTTCAGAGTTAGCAAGCATCTGAACCTGCTCAACAAAGGAGGTCTCCTTATTTGAAGGAAACAAAGCACTGAATGAGAGATAGCAACAATATGTGAGAGAAATGCATCGGACTAACAGGCTAACTGCAGTTCCAAACATCCTAGTGAAGTGGGTTCAATAGAGTTGTGTGGCCTTTCAAAGGATACCATTTCCATTGTATGTCATAGGAAAAAATCTGCTTTTTCTACATTACCTTTCTTGGGCATCTATACCAAGTTGAAGTGGCTTCAACCATATTCAGAATATGCTGAAAAACATAATCAATAATGTGCTTTTAGTAATGTATACTTAAAAACATGCTGTTCATACACCCAAAGCAACCTCAGATATAGCTTACAAAAATATGCATTCATTATAAAATTGAACAGCAGGAAAAACAGCATCTCAGCTGAAAAGATAATTGTGTGTTATGCTTTTCACATTAAGGGAGATTGTAGTGCTCCTACTCTCTATATAAAACATATTTGTATACATATGCATGTGCTACCTCCACTGTGGTTGATAGTGAGGTGAAAGGGTGAAGAAGGGCTTCCCTGTCTGTGGCTTACTTCTTTCCTGTTGAAGGTAAGAAGAGAGGGCAGATAGGATAGAGCCTCATCTGAAGCCAAGAGGGAATCAGGGCTGAAATGTGACAGTAGAGGAAGGTCTATACTAAACTAGAAGGTCGGCTTAAGATATGTAAATAATGTAGCTGAAATCAATTTACCTTAAGCTTAATTTCTCTGCTTGCCCCCGAGGTTCACAGGAGAAACTCTCCCATCAACTTCCCTTACTCCTCATGACTGCGAGGAATTCCAGAGTTGACAGTTAGGGTCTCAGTATTCAATTTAGAATGTCCTTATTAGATCTGTTAAATTGAATGCCGGAAGATCGGCCTGAACTTTGTCAATCTTCCATTTAGAACAGACATGGCCTAGATCAGAGCCCAGTCCCTAGTCTGCTCCTCAGCTGCTCAGCCATGTGTCCTGTATTCACAGTTTGTGTAATGACAAGTGGTAACCATGTTAATGTATGTGTGGCAATATAATAAACAGGTTTTATTAATATGATACCCCAATAATACATGCTACAGATATTATTATTATTTATTATCTATTAGTTGAGACTTGAAGACAGTTATTCTAGGCCCTGGACAAAAACAGAACAAAAAGACTGCCCCTACTCAAAAAGCTTACAGTCTATTACTGTTGGACCTTGACTGAATGGTGTGCTTTATCCTTCCGGGTAACATACATTAAATAACCATTTTGTGTTAAGAGATGTGGAGTTAAAATATCAATTTAAATCAATACAATATACAAATATATTACAGTGTGTTTTTCTTAAGTTAGGAAATGAGGTATAGATGGCTACCTCTTTTTTTCCATAATACTGAGTATTTGATAAAAGCAAAGTTGAAAAATAGAGTTTCTTGGGACAAGTGTTGATGAAGTGCATATAAATAGGCTGAAATAAACTCAAGCGCACCTAAAAACACACCTCACTCAGGCACATTTTTCAGAACAAACTATTTCTTACAAATCCTAAGTGATTAATATCAAAGGGTGGTAGATGAACACTATTTTATTAATATATCTGTATTACACCTCCACCATTACTGTACTGTGTCCTTTCAAACATCATTTACATAAAACTTAGATTATTGTCTTGGGAAAAAAATAGGCAAACATGCATCTACAAAAAAAAGGCTTTATTGCTGGTGTTCATTATTTTAACACATGATACTGATAATAGGTGAAATATAATCTCAAATATATCACATGTGTTTAGCTATTTGCACAGTTATTTGCATCTAATTAGACACCTGGAAATTATTAATATGCAAATTAAGTTTAAATGCATAGCATTACCCTAAAATCTATTTTAAATGTCCAAATACGTCTCTTAAGAATATTGGCCCATATTATTTATATAGCTTTTTAAAAAATATGGATAAAATAAAGGAGTTGGTTTAAAAAAAAAATCTTTTTGATCAAGAGCTGTGTATCTCATTAGACTTCCCTCTGGTTTAAGGTGGCTAGACATGACTCTTGTTGAGGATCATCAATACAACTGACTGCATTGAATCACTACTAATGATCTAGTGGAAGTGGTTTCTTTTCTACTCAGAAGTGCCTTCACGGTGCTCCTAGTATGAGAACCGGGAACTTCAGATAATGCTTGGAATTTGCGAAGAGGTTGGTAATAAAAATGTGATTAAGAAACTGATGGTTCATTTCTGCTCCCATTGAATGTAATGAATTCAGAAGCTCTATTGTGCTTAATAATTTACCAATAACTACCTGTCTGAGTATTGAAATTAGGATAAAAGTTTTCATTGTCTTTCTCACTGATAGGTGCTGATTTCAGCTAGCCATGTCATGGCTCATTAACATCACCCCTGAGCGCTATGTATCCCAAATACCTCATACCTTCTCTCTAGTCTAGGAGAAGTGATTTAATCCTTCCTCACCTACTAGGCAACAATACCAAGCCCAAGGGGCCAACTTAAAAATACTACAGACCATTCCCACTTCCATTATACCTTCCCTCTTGGGTAAGATATTGAAGAATTTCCATCCCGCCAATTGCAGGCAAATCCAATTCATCTCTAATCTAGCATCTACTTCAGGGATCCTGCAGAAGGAATGAAGGTTCAGTTACGCATACTGCATAATTTGCCTCCCTGTACGTCTCTACCTTAAGCCAATCTCTAGCCTTTCCCAAAGTTCCTTCCTAGACAGTTGGTTCTCTCTCCAGAATTCTCCCTGGGACCACTGTGGATGGTTCAGCCCTTCCCACATTCTCTCTCAAATCCTGGTCTGCCTCCCTAAACTCATTCACTTGCCAACATACCACAGCCTTTCCTTCACCTGACCCAGCTAACAGTTCAATGCATGGAAGAGGCCACAGGAATGCACAGACATGTACCCCACAACTAAACCCTACACTGCACAAATGACTAAGTATATTTTAACTTGTACATTTAAGATTAGATTGTAACTATTGGTATGAACAAATCATAGAATCATAGGGCTGGAAGAGACCTCAGGGGTCATAGAGTCCAGCCCGCTGCCCAAAGCAGGACCAACCCCAACTAAATCATCCCAGTCAGGGTTTTGTCAAGCCGAGACTTAAAAACCTCTAGGGATGGAGATTCCATGACCTCCCTAGGTAACCCATTCCAGTACTTCACCATCCTCCTAGTGAAATAGTTTTTCCTAGTATTCAACCTAGAACTCCCCCACTGCAACTTGAGACCATTGCTCCTTGTTCTGCCATCCGTCACTACTGAGAACAGCCTCTCTCTATTATTTTTGGAACCTCCCTTCAGGATGTTGAAATCATACCAGTGTGTTGTATTGTTCACTGGCAACTTCTTTAAATCTGGGTGCAGCTGGAGATTTTGAACACTATGAAGTACGTGCAATTTAAGCCAGAGGCATGATTCATATCTGCCCTACCAGATATTGATCAGCTGATGGAAAAGACCGAATGTGCAGACTCTATGGCTGTGTCTACACTGGCATCCCTTCCGGAAAAGGGATGCTAATGTAGCACTTTGGAATAGGCAAATCCACGGGGGATTTAAATATCCCCCGCGGTATTTGCATTAACATGGCTGCCGCTTTTTTCCGGCTTGGAGATAAGCCGGAGAAAAGCGCCAGTCTAGACGTGATTCTCTGGAAAATAAAGCCTTTTCCGGAGAATCTCTTATTCCTACTTGAAAAACATCATGCAGCAAAATGCAACAATCTGGACCGTAAAAAAAAAAATCTGATCAGTGTATAAGATTTCATCCATTTATTTTGGCTACTTATGTGCAGCGCCAATAATGATGTTCTCCTTTAAATTTGTGAGAACTCATTGTTCTCAATAGGAATGGGTATAAAAGAAGAAAGGGATAGATTGTGCAATTCATACTGACAACACGGATAAACATTTCACTACACAAAATAATCCCACTAAAGCCATCAGATCTACTTGCATGAGTATGTTTATGAGAGAAAGACCTCTATAAGATGGCCTAGAGTTTGATCTAGAATTTCTAGAAGTTGTTAAATAACTCATTTGGAAATGTCTTCATATTTCCCATGAAAACAAACTTATCCAAATAGAGGCTATTTGCTAATATTTATATGGTGTGTGAAAACTGTGCCAAATATTTTGAAATGCTGCTTCTTAGTTGGATCATCTTCATTTTTTTCTGTTCTAGAACTTGGCTACCCAAAGGTGATCAAAGATCTACTTGATGCTCAGAGCCACTGGCATTTTCACCACCTTTGAGCAGAATGAGCTACCAGAGTGTGAGTAAGAAAAGCCTCTGAGATCCTCTGATGCCATGTCTATAGTACTGATGTAAGTGCTGCTAACCTTGTGGTTCTGAACAGGGAACAGCAACAACAGGAACTGTTTTGTAGAAGAGTCTGATGTTGCTATAGCCACAAATGAACATTTCTTCAGAGGTCTTCAAAATCAGACCTTACAAACTGCCAGCCTAAAAGGGAAAAATCATTAAATTAATAGAAAAGAGCTACTCTTCTGGTACTACAGTTACCTATTAATAACTAGCAATGCAAACAAACTCTGACAACAGCAGAAATGAGCCATTTTTTTCCTGTTTTTTCTTCTTGCACTTCTGAATTCACATCCAACTAAATTCTGACAAAGGCTAATATGTCATAGAAACCCACAACAAACATTCTAAAGTGGCCTTTCTAAATAATTGAATACGCCTTTGTCTTTTTACCAGAATTTTGTATAAACATAACATGGCCTGAATGAGATTTTACCACACTATTACCTACATGGTATCATTTACCAGGATTTTAGATAGACTTACTGTAAGTGCTACAATTCCTATAAGGACAAATATAGCAGGTTTTACTAGCATGTGGTTAATGGACTCCACTAGTTTTCATAGTAAGTAAAATAATAATTCTGTAGCCCATAACAGGCAGGACTGAATCTGGATTTAAGGAAGTTTGTGGAGAAGGGAGAAGTCTGCTATTATTTCCCTCCTCTCCAACCTTCCTGCACACACATACACACACATATACGTCTACAGATTACACAGTATATGGAGCTGTCACAATTGGATTTTTGAGGGCATAATTCTATTGTGTCTGTTTCTTACATTGTCCACACAAGCACAGCATAGGTTTCTTTTCCCTTGTGAAAGGCTCATCCACAAGCTGACCTCTTATTAATCATAGAGAATATGTGACAAGTTTCTCATTTTACTTACCAGGGCAATGGGGTTGAGCGGTATTCCATCCCAGTGAAGGTTGGGGAGGAGTGTGACTGAAACACAATGGACCTCTCAAGGGATGTAACAGCAGGCATGCTCCAAGTGCACATGCTTCTTGTGGAAAGTATTCCTTATATAAGCAACCTAGGGCCATGAGCGGCTTGCATGAGTGGCCTCCTTCATCTCAGTGGCCTGCAAGATTGACACAAGCAAGATGGTCTCCCAGAATAGGGTAGTTTTGCTAACTGTGCTTGCATACCTAGAATTTGAAGGGTCTCAGCTGAACCGTAGCAGTGCTTTGATTGGATGCAGAGGAAGTGCACAGCTCTCACCTTCAATGTGGTATGCAACCTGCATACACCTCACTTCTTCCTAGACTTTCTTTACACTTCTAAGTCTAAAGCACAGCTGCCACAGTGCTTTAACATGGCAGTGTGGTTATACCTTCAGCCTGGGAGAAAGCTCTGCCAGCACCCTATGTAAACTACCTCCTTGATGGAAGTAGCTAACAGCACTGGGAGCCTGTTTACACTATATCTTACTGCACTAGAGGGGATGTTTTTTTCATACCTTTGAGCAAAAAAGTTCCAGCACAGTAAAGTGGCAGTGTTGACAAGCCCTTATTTTCAACAGGATCTGGGCATCCAACTCCTCTATGCTCTTTTGAAGATTCCAGCCCCAAATAAATATCTAATCTTATTGTGTGGATATTGCCTTTTCAAAAGGAACATGGTATTTTTATGCCAGAGAATGTACTGACTCAAATTACCAGGATTATAGTTTTGCAATGTCTATTAGGCCAAGGAACTCATTCTATGCCTCTTACACATTAGACATGAGGCATGTGGACCCAGGCTCAGAGGCACACTGACACAGGTGCTGCTAGTCATGTAAATGTACCCAATGCAACTTAAGATCCTAAGCCTTTAAACAGGACTTAAGCGCCTAAACATCGATAACCTCCCCGATAACACCATCCTTGCTACCATGGATGTAGAAGCTCTATACACCAACATCCCACATGAAGACAGATTAGAAGCAATTAGAAACACTATCCCAGAGGACACCACTGCCAATCTGACAGCAGACCTATATAACTTTGTTCTCACCCACAATTATTTCCAGTTTGAGGACAACTTATACCTCCAGATCAGCGGCACAGCCATGGGTACACGCATGGCCCCACAGTACACTAACATCTTTATGGCTGACTTAGAACATTTCCTCAGATCCCGTCCCCTCTTACCCATTCTCTACTTACGCTACATCAATGACATCTTAATAATCTGGACCCATGGCCAAGAAACACTGGAGACATTTCACAGAGATTTTAATAACCTACACCCCACCATCAATCTCAGCCTGGACCATTCTATATGAAAGAGATCCATTTCCTGGATACCACAGTACAAATCACCAATGCTAAATTAGACACCACTCTCTACAGAAAACCCACCGACTCATACAGTTACCTACATGCTCCAGTTACCTACAGTTACCTACAGTTACCAGAGCCTCCAGCTCCCATCCAGAACACACCATACGATCCATCATCTATAGCCAAGCCCTTTAGTACAACTGCATCTGCTCTAATCCCACTGACAGAGACCAGAAACTTCAGGATCTCTACCAAGCATTTATAAACCTCAACTACCCAACCAGAGAAATAAAAAAACAAATCGCAAGAGCCAGACGAATACCCAGAAACCATCTACTTCAAGACAGACTCAAGAAAACCAACAATAGAACACCACTTGTCTTCACCTACAGCCCCCAACTTAAACCCATCCAACACATTATCAATAAACTACAGCCTCTACTGGAACAGGATACTAAACTCCGAGAGGTTCTGGGAGACAGACCCATAGTCTCTTATAGACAACCACCTAACCTCAAGATGATTCTTACCAACAACCACAGGACATACCACACTAATACCAACCCTGGAACTTTCTCTTGCAACAAACCCCGTTGCCAGCTTTGTCCACATATTCACTCTGCTGATACCATTATTGGACCTAACCAATTGAGTTATAAGATCAAGAACACATATTCCTGCTCATCCAGAAATATAATTTATGCTATCATGTGCCAACAGTGTCCGTCTGCTATGTACATTGGACAAACGCTTCAGACACTTCGCCAAAGAATCAGTGCACACGAAACAGATATTAGACAGGATCACAAAGAAAAAACAGTTTCTTGACATTTCAACCAGAAAGGGCATTGTCTCAAGGACTTAACTACCTGCATCCTGCTTCAAAGACATTTTAACACCGGACTTGAAAGAGAATCCTCTGAACTGTCATTCATGCTTAAATTTGACACTTTACATCTAGGTCTCAACAAAGATGCTAATTATCTTACCCATTACAAAGATAGCTTCCCCAATTATCACCTCTAATATCATTAGCTCACAGACATTTACCCCCCCCCACCTCATCCCCCCTCTGTTCTAAAATCTGATTTGTCCTTTTCATATGTGTTAATTTTTTTTATTGTATCCTTTGGTATATATGGTCAGGACAATTTTCTTCCACTATTTATCTGAGGAAGTGGGTCTGGCCCACAAGAGCTCATCACCTAATAAACCATCTTGTTAGTCTTTAAAGTGCTACATACTCCTATTTTTTGTTTAAGTTATTTAGGAGCTCTTGAAGGTTTTATGGCCCAGTTCAACTACTGGTGGTTAGCAATTAGTGAAGTTGTACCAAGTCCTATGTATAGACATGAAAAGGTATGGTTTGCACAGACTAAGCTTGTACCACTTCCAGCTAGAGGTCATATGAGCTAAGGAAAAAGTTAGCTGACCTTATCTCCATTTGGAATCTGAACCAGTATAAGTAATCCAGTTGCCAGCAATGATGTCTGAATCTGGTGTAGACAGGATCAGCATGTAGGAGCCCTGAGTCAATGACATCCTAAAAAACTTGCAGTTTTGGCAGCACAGAAACAATTAGTTTGAAAGTTGTTCTTCCATGATAAAAGCAAATGATTTTGCTCTCTGTGTATGAAAAGTATTTTACTTGCAGCATAAGTCATTGTCTTGGATGCCAGTGTCCTCCGTGTGTGAGGAGGAGAAAGGGTAAACCCTCTGAGTTTTAAGTCACATTTATATTTTTATTCGCAGATATGAATTTTTATTTTAATAGCTTCTCTGGCTTCAAATAATTATTCCACTAGCATATATAAAGCTCTTTGTGCCCCCTTTTAAATGTGCTTATCTTTGCCTCTGATAGAAAAGAGGAAAATATAAGGGAGTGATTGAGAGAGACTGCAGACAGAAGATATGGCAAGAAGAGAGGAAGGACACAATACAGCAAGACAATTTCTATGCTTCTCTCCACTTCCGGAGACCATAATGATCCTCATCACACAGGGCTACATTGCGGCTTTTATGCCACAGCCCTCAGCAGGGACAAGTCAGAGTACATTGTCTTAGAGACATAGTGCCTCCAACAGACTAGCTTTCTTGATGCATCTATGTGTGCAGAAGAGGGCATCCTGCTTTCTCCAGCCACGAACATTGAGCAGATGAACCAATATAGAAAGCATCTGACTATAGGTCAGTGCAGGAATTGATGGGCTATGAATTCACTTCTTTTCTACCCTATTTCTAGTGACCTATTCTCCAGATTTCAGGGAGCAGACACACGATCATCATAAAAATCAGTTAAAGTTAAAGAGTCGTACAAAGGCTTCCTACATGGCCCTCTGTCCCTGTAAACCCATTTGAGGACTTTCATTATGTGGCCCATTGAAGTGGGTGGGAAGAAGGTCATATAACATTTTCCTTCCATTATGTAACCACTTCTCTCACCTACATAGTTACTATAATGAAGCTAAAGAGATAACTAAGGAAAGGCATGAGAGAAGCTGCTCTACTATATTTGGAAGCATGGAGCAAAATTGCTGGTCCCCAGATAGTCTCTGGCATTGATCATGTCTAGGATTCTACCAAATTCATGATCCATTTTGCTCAATTTCATGGGCATAGGTTTTTTAAAATGCTAAATTTCATTATTTCAAATATTTAAATCTGAACTTCCATGGTGTTGTAATTGTAGGGCTCCTGACACAAAAAGGAGTTGTGTGTGTGTGTGGGTGTGGGGGGGGGGCGCAGAGGGTTATTGTATGGGGGTTGCAGTGTTGCTACCCTAACTTCTGCACAGCAGCTGCCAATAGTATTGCCTTTAGAGCCAGCCAGCTGCTGACCAGGAGCTCATCTCTGAAGCCAGATTACCACCAGCAGCAGTGCAGAATTAAGTATGGGATGGGATGATATTGCCTCTTACTTCTGACTTACTTCTGCTCTGCTACCTGTAGAACTGGGCCTCAGACAGCAGCTGCTAGCCTCTGGTCACCCAACTACGAAAGCAGAAGTACAGAAGGGCAACATGGGTATGGTCAGTGCTTTTTTTGTGATGGTACTGCCCAGTACTCAGTACCGGCACCTCCAGATGCAGTACCAGCACCTCTAATCAGAGCTCAACAACTTTTCCCCTGGAATACCAGCACTTTTTTTTTTTAACAAAAAAAAAAAAGCACTGGGTATGGGTATGCCACTCTTACTTCTGTGCTGCTACTGGATGCTGCCTTCAGAGATGAGTATGTAGCCAACGTTACAACCATCCCTCTCCAATTACCCAGCTACCCTCCTAAAATAACCTTGTGATCTCCCTGCCACTACCTTTTAGGTCCGCCATGCCACCTGTCCCATTTGAGAAATGCTGGTCTCTCCCACACAAATGGCCAGATTTCATAGGAAGACACCAGAGTTCATGGTGTGTGACACATTTTGCATGACTGTGAATTTGGTAGGACCCTAATTATGTCTGAGGCAGGACTCTATTGCATTCTTGTGTTACAGGACTCTCCTAGACGGTATAGCAAAGGAATCCAGGATGGCTCTATAACTATGAACTATTTGTGATGAGATGAAGGTGGGTTTTTTATCCCTTTTTAAAAAAATTTACTGCTTCTGCCCAATTGTATACTTTACATTATTCTGCCTACTATGATGACAGATTTGCTTGTAAAACCACTCTCCATAATCTGTGCACTCCCAAGGAATTTGCCTGTATGATACACTCCCTGTAAGAGTAATTTTTAGTAATTTATTAGCAGGCAGCCTAGATGAGGAGGCAGATGCAGGAAGCAAATTCAGCTTTTCCATTTGCCTGAGATCACAACTCTCTCATTTGCTCAAAATCACATCTCAATATATTTAATAATGAACACAGAAATGTAATACCAAGAAGTTGTATAAGCCCTTCAAGTTCATTTAAGACCTGATTTCAATACATTAGTGAAATAGATGAAAAATTATGCCTTAGAGGAGTTCAACATACATCACCTTTACTACCTAAAATTAAACATTTATACTTCTTAGTTGACTAACTTAAAAAAAAATCAACATAACTGACAGCTTTTTCATTGCATAGAGAAAGAGGTACAACTCACAGCTATAAACTTTCAGAGATGCTTTGTACCCTCTTCTTTCCCACCCACCCATGCACATGTTCAGTTACTAGTCAACCTACAACACTCATGCCGTGCACACAATCTGTGACTCCAGTTAAAACAAGCTTTAGCCACCAATTCAACATAGTCATTATCTTGAAGTAAATATAAAATTGCTGCTGATCAACTGTGCGGTTGATGCAAAGATTGGCAGAGCAGTGAAGGATGAGTACAGGGCAATCATACTGAGCAGCCTGAATTGCTTGGTAAGCTGGGCCCATTCAACCCAGATGCATTTTAATATAACAAATGTAAAGTTATACAACCAGTAATGAGGAATGCAGGCTTGGGTTTAGCGTATGTGTGTGTAGTGTTGGATGCCTGTGATATGTGGGAGATCAGACTCAATGATCTTTTGTTTGCTTAAACTCTGTTACTCTATGTCATGACTATAACTAGGGAATAGGAGACTATCCTGGGAAATGGCTTCTGGAAAGGGTTGTCATTGACATCAACTCAAAGTGAGCCCCCAGTGTGATGCTGAGGCTAAAGGGGCTGTGATCCTTGGGGGTATAAACAAGAGAATGGTGTATAGAAATAGAGAGGCATTTTAGAGATGTTGTCTGTAAAGCTGTGGTGTCCACATTATAGAATGTTGTAAGAAAATGGGAGAGGTGGAGAAAAAGAGGCACAAAAATAATTCAAGGGCAGGAAAAACTGGCTCATACTGAAAACCCTAAATTGCTCAATCTATTTAGCTTATCAAAAAGAACAGAGGTGACTTGATAATGATGTATAAGTACCTTCACGGGGAAGAAATGCCAAATACTAAAGGGCTCTTTACTGTTGTGGAGAAAGGCATAATAGGAATCAGTGGCTGAAAGTAGAAGTCAGACAAATTCAGCTGGAAATGGGGCACTTTTCATAATTTGTTTATACATTTAAAACAGAGAGTGTCCTTTTGCCAGTGAGGTGAAAGGGTCAAGGGAAATGATGGATTCTCCATCTGCCAGTGTCTTCAAAATAACACTGGATGCTTTCTGAAAGAGTTATTTTTGCCAAATTCAAACACAAGTCACTGGGCCCAATACAGAGGTATCAGGGTGAAATGTAAATTCCCGTGATATAAAGATATGAAATTTAAAAAGTAGAGCAGTTAAACATTATATTTAACCAGTTAATGGGGTCTGGCAGGTGGGAGGCTGATCTGGCCAAGCCAGGTGCTGGTTAATTGGTTGCCCCTTTAAGCATGCTAATAAGGCACTGATTACTGAGAAACTTGTTAACCTATTTTCCGTTTACATCCCTACTGTTATATATAGGAGGTCAGGCAAGACGATATAATGATCTCTTGGGGCCTTAAAGTCAATGAAAAATTACAGTTACAAGTCACATCTTTAATGTTATGCTCCTGATGCCGCATACCATCATGCTATGCTTGGTAACAGAATTTTCAAATTTTTCACAATTTTCGATTGTGACAAGAGATACCTGGCCCCTTGAGACACCTTGCTGAAAGCCCTGCATTCACGCTGCCCCATGATGAAGCAGAGGTGGGTCCTCCAAGCCTGCCTAGAGAAGCCTTGTGGAAGCAGCCAATCAGAGTCCAGCAAATTCAGATAAAATGAGCTTCAGGTGCTTGGCAGATTAGTTCCTGGGTAAAACAAGAAGGGTTCTTGTTTGGCTAAAGCAGACTGGTGGCTGGTTTTTGGCCAAACCTGGGACTGAAAAGACTTGAGAATTCTAACCCTAAGCTAATGGACGGAAGCAAAGGGGCTGGGTGGGAAGGGGACGAGAAAATGAAGCAGCAGCTAAGTAAAGAAAGCCATATGTGTCTGCTGTTTATAGAGTCCTTAGGTTGGAGTGTGGAGTAGTGGGGTGGGTGTGGGATATTCTAGTATCCACTGGCGAAGTGGACTAAGCTTATAGAAGAGGTGTCAGGCACCTAGTACCCAGGGCTGAAGATCCTGGTGAGAGTAGCCATCTGAGTGAACTTTTTACTGTCCCAGAAGGGCTCTACTTTGATTGTGTAACTTGGCTGGATGGCTAAGCTACTGAAGACCTGTCTAGTATGGTTCCCGATCTATTCAGAATGCCAGGAGTGGGGCAAAGATTGCACAGTAGCATACCCTAATTGGTTAGGGGAGGTGAATGATCCTAATCATAACTATCTACTTTTTCTACAGTTTAAGAGTACTTACACTTTTTTCCTTTTTTTTGTACCTTAACACTTAAAATAATGATGTTTTGAAAACTAGGATGTATCTTTATGGGGAAAAAAATAGATTGATATGGTAGAGATCTGCTGTTCTGTGAATGTTGCGTGGACATTTCTGGATGTTGTCCATGAGCACTTTAATTCTTTTACAGGCCAATTCAATTCATTTATCTTGAACTCTTGGTATAATAATTGGTATAAAAGGAATAAGGCAAATCTTCATGTCACTCTGGAAGCACAAAGGAGACCACACATTCTGAACATTCGAATGGATAGTCCTTTTCAGTAGAGACTGCCCAAGTGGCATGGAGCTCAAAGTAGTCAGGAACACAGATCTCTCTCTCCTGTGCTTCCTCACCCCAGTGACGTAGAAGATATTCTGTGACGAGAAGAGGTGTAGCAAAAGTGTGTCACAATCTGTCGATTCAACACTAGCAATAGTCTCTAGAGAGTGTAAATTAGAGTACTTCTGAAGTGTATTCAGTCACAGACTGACCTCAAGATCAGGAAGAGGATGGAAAGGTGGCAGAAAGCTATTTTTTCTGGTATGGTTGAAAACAAAAGAAACTTCAATTTAAAAATGTACAGCTGTCTAACTTTCCCTTTAACTATATATGAGTGAAGGCGACGAGGAGTCCTGTGGCACCTTATAGACTAACTGAAGTGTAGGAGCATAAGCTTTCGTGGGCAAAGACCCACTTCGTCAGATGCAGACCTGCATCTGACGAAGTGGGTCTTTGCCCACAAAAGCTTATGCTCCTACACTTCAGTTAGTCTATAAGGTGCCACAGGACTCCTCGGTGCTTTTGCAGATTCAGACTAACACGGCTACCCCTCTGATACTATATATGAGTGGTTGTCTGTACTTGGGTAAAATACACACATTAACAAGGACCTTAACTGGATTTCTCCCTGCATTCCAGGTCCTAATGACATAAAAATCCAAGCACTGAGTACTTAAGAGTACTTAGAACCCTCCCTGTTAGATTCATTTAGCATGGGCATTCTAATTGACATTTTTTCCCCATTTTTCCTTCTCTTTCCATCCCCATCTCCTCTCTTTCAGTGCTATTTATTTTGCAACCTAGACCCCTTAACTCTATTCATCTGAAAAGTGAGTTGTGCCCACTAAAGCTCATGATACTATTTACATTTTTTCTTAGTCTCTAAGGTACTGCAGGACTATTTGTTGTTTTTTTAAAATTGCCTAGGGTTATTGCTTACAATGCACTTTACGTAGAGGAACATGTACACCAGGGCCACATACTAATCTCTTGTGACTCCACTGAGGTCAGTGGATTTGTACCAGGGATGTATTTGATCCATTACTATAATTAAAAATTAAACCTCCTAGTATTGATGCCATCTTCAGAATTACCAAGTTTTATTTCTTTCTTGTCCTTCCAGTGGAAGAGGACACCATGCTTCCCTGCCAAAAAATTGTTTTAATGACAATGTAATCAGAATTTTTGACATACATTGTTCTTTTGTATTTTTCTCTGCCTGATGACATTAGAACCGGAAGAAACAGGGCCGCTAAAACACTGATTCAGGACTACCATGACAACTGTCAGACCCAGATAGCTTTTCTTTGAGAATTACAGATTTATTATTTGTTGGTCTCAAGGCTTTGTTTTCCTTTTATCTTGCTTGTACTTTGTTACTATGCTAACAATGACTCATCAGTACCTGTTGTTCCACTTAAATGCATCTATTTGTAAAGTTTTCTCCCTTCAATAAACATTTGTGTTTTATAGCAAAAATATTCTTCAAAACCAGCAAACATCCAACCTACTTTTGCTATGTAGGGTGTTTCTATATTTTACTAAGAACATATCAAAACACCTTATTATATGTATTTTTTAAAAAATCTGGGTGGTCTCAGTGCATTTGCCATCACTTATTTGTTCATAATAATAGACCATTAGCAATTGATTTAAGTAACAAACTTCTGATATGCATGCATGTGATTGCACATGAACACCTACGGGGAGGTAGCTGCCATTATATCTTGTGAACTCATCTGCTCGACACTTATGCACAAACAATTGTATAAAAGAACTTTACTATAGAACATAGAATAACTTTGCTTTGTTAGTAAAAATTCAAGTTAAAAAACAAGTTATGCATGTCAATTTGAATATTGATCAAGCTTTAAGAACCTCCTCACCTCCAGGATCATTTTGGTAGAACTATTAATTGCCCAACTGTCTATTTCTGAGCTGTATTTGACTTGCATCCTTCATTAAAAGATGGCACCCACACCTTGAAATAGCTCCTGTGTGCTGTCTAATAGCAAGAATAGTGGAGGAAAATACCAACTCCTGGAGTCCTGCAACTCAGTTATAAAGAATAACCAGAATTGAGTTTAAAGTGCAATCAGTTGGCTATTTTTTTCTTAGTCTTCCACTGAAGCCAATTTATATAGTTCTGTTTCATCTGCTTAGTATTCCTGTGTGGAATTTAATTATATTCACATGTTAGCATTAAAGTTAATTTAACATATTTAAGAACTACCTCTTTCTGATAGGAGATACTGGTTTCTCTCTGGCTAAGGCCATATTTCATGGGTGAGTTCTTCAACTGGCAGAGTTCTACTTGGCTCATTTAGGAGGGTCTTGAAGCTCTCTCTGTGCTTCTTCAATCACCAGTGTTGTAAGGGCCTCCTGCTAAACATTTGCCTTGGGGTTGCTCTAAATTTTGTCTGTTTTCAACATTCTCCCTCCCTCATTATTGGTATTGAGTGGACACATCAGCAAAGGTGGAGATTGGGAAGAGGTGGAAGACCCAGCTATACTGGCTTTAAGCTAGACAGGGACTATTTTCCTCTGGAGGAATCTTCAGGTTATTATTTTCCAAGAATCTTTAACACTGAGCCTTAATAGGGACTGGGATATGGCCAGAAGGCTCTCCTTGCTTCCTCCCTCACTGATATTTTTGCTGCACAGTATCTCTCTTTTCTCAATTTAAAAATCTCCTATCACTTCCCCTCTCACTTATTTTTAAATTAGAAGAAACCCCATTTAACCCTGGAGTTAAATTTTTGGTCAGTATTTCATCCACAGAGGGTTTTGTGCAGTATTTTCTTCTCACTAGTCTCCTTTTGGTATAAAGGCAAAGACTCCTTGGGTTTTTAAAGAATTCTTTGCCAATAAGTTACCCTTTTTATGACCACTTAAATAATCTCCACTGACCTCTTGTTCCTCATATGTTGTACTTGAAAGATTTCTTATTTAACTCTATCCAGGTACAATCCATATTTCCCTCACTACCTTGACCTTATCACTTTTCAGACTCAGATTTGTTCTGTATTCTTGTGTGCTTCTTTTGCACGCTTGCTTTTTTGTTTATATGTTATTGTTCACATACCTAGACTGTCTTAAAAGACCTCAGTGGGTATATTTATCACCATGGCTATTAAGTCATCCTTTCATCTTTCAAGAAAGTGGGTCACACAACGGGCTCTTAAATTCTTCATAAACGATGATGTACACCGTCCAATATGGAACATGCTCTCCTTATCCATGTGTCATACATATGCTGAAGTTTGTTATTTCTGGCAAAAAGTTATTTAATTGTTGTTCATTATATTACAGTAATTACCTAATACTTCTAGGGCTTTCATGATGGAATTTTCCTGGCATCTAGGCTTCATCACCCAGTGTATAAAGTACTATAGTTCCAATAAGATTTCATACCTGCTATTTCCTTTGGAGCATGTAACCAGCAGTGACTAGAATGACCAAAACAGTTTAGCATTTTTGTTTGTAGTAGGAACAAAGTGTAGCCTAAGAGTACTCAACCACATGTCTAACCTACCCCAGATTCCTATACAGTGTAATTGTCTCTTATCTTCCTTTTCCAGTCCTGAATGCATTAAATGCACTAAAAATTGGATTGAAAATTGCTAGTGAAAAATACTGTCAAGTTACTAAAAACCAAGTCAAGTAACAGATTATTGTTTGGTTGTAAGATGAGCAGAAAGACAACATTAGCTTCACATGGATTCTCTCACACTGAAGTACTACTGGACTATGGGGTTGATCTTGAGTAATGTAGAGTGTTTGTAAATTATCTCAACAGTGTAATGTAGTAGTAGATTTGTCAAGAAAAACACACAAGAAGTTGGGAGCTGTAACCTGATATAGTCTCTTAAAGCACTTGGACAGTGTGTGAGAATCAACTGGTTTGAAATTCTTCCTTAAGAGCAGACTGGAACTGCAGACCCTGAAGAAGAAAGTATTTGGTTGCATTTAACAGTCACTCAAGGATTGGGAGAGGAAGATAAAGGACAACAATATGTTGTCAGAGTCTAGGAATTTGGGGTGGGATAGATATGTGGTTGAGGAATCTTAGATTATACTTTGGGTACGTCTAGACTACAGGCTTTTGTTGACAGAAGTTTTGTCGATAGAATCTGTTGACAAAACTTCTGTCGACAAAGAGCGTCTAGACTACATCAAGCAGACAAAACTATTCACTTTGTCGACAGAGAGCGTCCAGACTGCAGGACGCTTTGTCGACAGAAGAAAGTACCCGGAACTGCTTCTGCTAGGTCACAGAGGCAGCATGTACTTCCTGGTGCTGCTGCCTGCCCTTTGCAGAGACGCGTGCTAAAAGGGACCCCCCCCAACTAGCCATTGCTCTGCTGCTGCAGCTGTCTTGCTTACCTCCTAGAGGGACAGCAAAGGTTCTGCAGTGCTTGCTTGGAGTGCCCTGCTTTCTGGCACAGCACAGCAGTGTGATTTTTTTTGGGAAGGTTTTTCCAAATTTTTGTTTGCCATGGAACGAGAGCTGCCCCTGGGAAGGTGCAGGCCCCACTCCATGGTGCTTCAGATGCTGCTGCAACTGCAAGAGACTTTCATGCTGTTAATGCCTGGTCCGGATCCTGAACCCAGACTGGAGCCCCTCCTTCAGGATGCAGCAGCACTGTTCCTGCCTCCGAACTTTTTCCTGGAGAGGCGATTTTTGAGGATGGAAAAAAGTATGGACTGGTGGGACCAGCTCGTAATGGAGCAGTGGGATAATCAGGTTTGGCCCCGAAACTTCAGGATGTGGAAGTTCACCTTCCTGGAGTTCTGCAACTGGCTTGCCCCCACCATGCAATGACAGGACACCCACCTGCGCCCTGCCATCCTGCTGGAGAAGAGGGTAGCTATTGCCCTCTGGAAGCTGGCCACTCCTGATAGCTACTGGTCAGTGGGACACCAGTTTGGTGTGGTGAGATCTACTGTTGATGCCGTGTTGATGGAGGTAAGTCCCTCAGGGGTGGGGGGGGGGGACAGTCCATGAGGGGTAAGGGGACTGTAACAGAAAAAGGGTGGGTGG